CACAAGGAGGGGGGGGGGATGGAATGGGGGGGGAGCAACTGTGTATTGCGCAGCACATGCATTGGCATGCACAGAGGGCCTGCACTCGGCAATGCGGACAGCAGAGGGAGTATACTCCATGGCACGGCACGCAGGGTCCAAGAGTGCGGGGTTGGCCCGTGCAGCGAGGGGAGCAGAGCAAAGGCGTCTCACTCACTTCCTGACGGCCTTGATGCCCAGGTGCTTCTCCAGCAGCCCCACGAAGTCGCCCACGCGCACAGGCTGTGTGTTGCCCAGGTTGTACACGCGGAACGGCGCCTTGCGCTTCTTGCGCCCGCCACTGCCCGTGCTGGGCCCCGCCGTGTCCAGCGCTGCCACGCAGCCACGCACCACGTCGTCTATGTACGTGAAGTCCCGCGCCAGCTCCTCCTGCTTCGGCCCCTGGAATATCTTGATGGGCTGTTCGGGTGGGTGCAGGGCGAGCACAGCAACGGGAGCACGTTACAGCAGCGAGGACATGAGTGCAACTGGGATGGCGTGAATGGGGCATGTGAAGGAAGGAATGAACAACACATGAGTGAGTGAGCGTGTGTGGATCGGGCGGCAGCAAGACCCACCTTGCCGTCAACAATGTTGCGTGTGAATGAGAAGTAGGCCATGTCTGGTCGCCCCCACGGACCGTACACTGTGAAGAACCTGCCACATGCCACACGCACCACAGCATAAGTAACTGTCAAGTCAATGCCGCTCGCAGAACTGAGGGAGCGACTTGAGGGCTTGCGTGATACCAGGTATGGCACCTCATGGAGGCAAAAGGGGGGGGGGGGGGGGAAGGGGCGAGGAGCACCTGAGGGCGGTGACGGAGAGGCCATAGATGTGGTTGTACGTGTGCCCCAGCACCTCGTCCGCCTTCTGCCAGGGGGGAGACAGCACGCACGCACAGGGCCAGGGGCATGTGAGCAAGCACTGGCACTGGCGAGGCAAGACTCAAGGATATGGCGGAGCGGAGCGGCGGCAATGAGAAGGCAAGCGAGCGGGGTTGGGAGGGAGAAGTGACCTTGGTGGCGGCATAGAGGCTGGCAGGCTTGTCCGTGCGGTCGTCCTCTGAGAATGGCACCTGGTGGCCAGACGGCGCATGGCACAGGACGGCACACCGCAAGGGTCAGCAGATGGCAAGTGGGGGAAAGGGAGACGAGTGGGTGGGGCAAGGGGTTGAGAGTGGAAGGTGAAGAGCGAGCGGGTGCGGTGGAGGCATGGGAACGCACCTTGGTGTTGAGGCCGTACACTGATGATGACGACGCGTACACCACGGCGGGCTGTGGGTCTGCCGCCTGCATGCGCGCACAGGGGGAGGTGCAGCGGGAGCAGGAGAAGCTTCACAAGTTGGTTAATGAATGGACGCAGTGGGAGCGGAGGACGAAGATGACTCTACAGGATGGACGCACGGACAGCCATGCGTGCGTGTGAGCGTGTGCGTGAGCGTGAGTGTCTGTGTGTGCGTGCTTATGTGCGTGTGCGTGCTTATGTGCGCGTACGTGCTTATGTGCGCGTGCGTGCTTATGTGCGCGTGCGTGCTTATGTGCGCGTGCGTGCTTATGTGCGTGTGCGTGCTTATGTGCGTGTGCGTGATTATGTGCGCGTGCGTGCTTATGTGCGCGTGCGTGCTTATGTGCGCGTGCGTGCTTATGTGCGCGTGCGTGTGCGTGATTATGTGCGTGTGCGTGATTATGTGCGTGTGCGTGATTATGTGCGTGTGCGTGCTTATGTGAGTCACCATCTTCCATAACCATCTCGTCATCCCATCCCCCTTCTCGCAACGCCCCACACGCCCGCGTCCCGGCCCGACCCGTGGCGCCCCATCGCGTGCGAGCGCGTACCTTGCACTGTTCGAGGAGCGCGACGAAGCCGTGCACGTTGGAGTGCACGTACGCCATGGGGTTCTGCACCGCGTACCGCACGCCCGCCTGCGCCGCCAGGTGCAGCACGTGCGTGAAGCGCACCACGCGGAACAGCTCCGCCAGCAGCTCCGCGCTCGTGATGTCGCCCTCCACCACCATGCTGCGCGTCCCGCGGGGGACGGTGAGGCGGCGAGTGAGGCGGGGAAAGAAAGGGGGCGGGGTGGGGGGGCGAGGGGGAGGAGGAAGAGAGGGGGGCGTGGAGAGGACGGGCTATGGGCACGAAACGACGGTGTAAGGCGAGCGGGCAGATTAAGCAAGGGCGAGCGGGCAGTTTAAGCAAGGGCGAGTGGGCAGGGCGGGGAGTACTCACACGCCTTTCTCCTGCAGGCGTGTCTGGCGCGCGCGCTTGAGCGCGACGGGGTAGTAGCTGTTAAAGCTGTCCACTCCCACCACGCCGTCGCCGCGCCGCCTCAGAGCCAGCGACACGTGCGACCCCACGAAACCCGCCGCGCCCGTCACCAGCACCACCAACCCCGATGGCTGACGACGGGGGAGGGGGGGAAGGAACGAGGGAAGGAGGGATGGGGGTGGGGAGGATTGGGAAAAAAAGAGCGCGATGCGTACCCGCAGCAGACGGTGGATGCAGCGACATATGGCATGTGAACCAAGGTTCACGCCCCTTGATCGTCCCCCCTGATGGCCTCTGTTGTTATCAACGGTCACGACGCTCTCACTAGGACACAACTACGGCTCTTAACCTTCTCTCCGCAGCCACCTTCTTTTAACGCGGTAGCCGCGCAACATCAGCAGTAGCGGTGACTAGCCTGGACAGGTCTAAGTAGCGGGGCCGCTATGGCTGACAGCACCTTCCTCAAGTGCCGCAAGGCATTGGCGCAAGTGAGGGTCGGAAGAACAGCTCACCTCCTGCGGCGTGGCGGAGCGCACGACCTCCGCCTCCCACACGGCTCCGCCCCACGTCGCTGCGGGCTGTGCCGAGGCGTCGCGCGCTAGAAGCGGCGAGGTGGAGCGGTAAAGCACACTCACGATTCTGCAAAGGGACCAGGGGGGAGCGCGAATACGGCACGAAGAGGGCGGATCAACGACATGCGCGGACCGAGAGAGCGAGGCTCGGATGCGAGGAAACAAGCTGATCCCAGCGTAGGTGGAAGGCGGAAGTTTGCAGGAGGAGGAGCGGAGCGGTGGGCACCTTGCACAGCGGAATAGCGGCTAATGCAGTGAAGGGAGGTAGGGCGAGGAATGCAAGGAGATGAAACGGCAGGTTCTCTGCGGGGCGTACGTGATGAGAAAGACGAGCGCGAGGCACGCGAGCTGCGTCGCGCTGAGACTGCGCGCCGAGCGCAGAATGAACGAGTTGGAGCGCAGCTTCTCGTTCGCTTCGCTCTTCGCCACCTCCACTGGCTTGGCCGGGCCCGACGGCGATAGCAGCTTCGCCGGGGGCGACATGTTCGGAGGCATGGTGGAACCTGCCCGTGCCAAGCTGGTCGACGCCCTCACCCCCGCGCCTGCTGCGCGCGGATTCGCGGTGGGGCTCTGTCTGCTTGCCCCTCGCCCACTCGCGCTCACCGTGATCGCCGCCCCTCGCGCCGATATTTAAACTGCGGCACGGGGAATAAGTCGCCAAGCTCAGAAAGAGACGCTTCTGCCGATGCGCTACGCTGTGGCCTCTAATTACGGTTCGCTTCCTGCACGCCACGAGAGGGCATTCCCGCACCTTCGGCGACAACAAGAGTCACTGTTGCCAGCGAAAAGAAATCCGAGGCGTGCACGAGGCGGCGGAAATCCGAGGCTGGCGCCTGACCTGACTGACGCGTGAAAGGTGCAGAGGATGGCCAGTGACGCGCGAGGACGAGGAATGCTACGACTATGCAATTGGGCGCCAGCAGCGGCGAGATGTGCGGCGCTGTAGCGATCACAATGATAGCACGCCTTCCCTCACTACTGGCGCCGTGCAGCCGGCACCCTATATCGACCTCGACTATCACCTTAGCGCTCGACCAGAAAGGTAATAGGCCACTGTAGCTGAGGACTAAAGTGGTGAAGGGGATTTCCCTTGCCCAAGTGGGTTGGATAGATTTTGGCTGGGGCTGGGATAGAGCATGGTTCGGGGGCAACTATGGGTGGAGAAATCGATTGGAGGGGCAATGACGAGGGTACGGGCAGATAGTCATGAACACGACGCTGCGCCGTGCAGCCCAAGGTTACTCCCTCCTTCCCCTCGGCATTGTGTCGCGTGCCTCTTGGACGACGGCACCGCGGGGAGACATGAACAGTCCACAATACCGAGTCGAGGCGCCAGCGAGCGACATCCTTTCCCTCTTCGGCCTCTTTGGGGGGATCCGCTTTGTCTGAATGATCCAGTTGGTGGTGGTAACATTCGCGCGGCGCCCTTGGCGACGCGAAAAGAGCCGCGCCGACGGCCAGGGAGCTCACCCGTCCGAGCTTACGCCGCAGGCTTGGCGAAACCCTTCCGGTCTCGCCTCGACCAAACATGTGATGGCTCGAATTTGCAGCGAACGAGATTGAGGCGAAGGCAGCCGCCGCTAGGCTTGGGGAAAAACGAACCGGTATATCCTCGTTAGGAATTGTGTTCATCCTGTCAAACAAAGTACTATGTAGTGTAAAGTTCTGGAAAACGAGCGCACCATAAATTTAGTGATTTGCGGAATGAGAAAAACCAATTTGTATAATGAACAATGCATTCCTCCGTCGGTTGAAATGAAAAGTGCTTCTCCAGCCTTTGGCAGGCGGGATGGAACCACCCAGTAAATCGCCATATGCTGTTTACAGAGGGCCTTGTCATCTCGTACAGAACGGCATCAAATACAGGGTTTGGTCGGAGGGGGAGCGGGGGGGGGGGGGGATTAAAAGAGGAGTGTCCCTCCCTTTCCCCCTCCCTCTCTGCCTCTCCTGGTCCTGTGAGGTGGTGGAGATGGAGTGCATGCACAAGGAGGGCACCTTGAGTGCACAATCCTCGAATGAGGGCTGCAGCTCATACGGTCGTGATCTGGGATGGAAGAGGATGATGGTTCCATATTTCCCGTGTTCGGGTAGGCCACTTTTAATTTAAAAATGCAGCACATGCATCCGAAGAGCTTGGGCACGCTATGTGCGGGTGGGTGCAGCAGTGAAGGCGGCGGTGAGGATGGCGTGGTCGGAGATGGAGTAGTCGTCGGGCCACACACCCTGCGCCATGGGCTCCGGCACCAGCTGTGCCCCACACACCACCAGGTCTCGCGACGATGATAAGTCCCGCTCCACTGTGGATGCTGGTGATGCTGGTGAGGAGAGGGAGGCGGAGGCGGGGGGGTTGGAGGGCCAGGGCGACTCGACGATACCGGTGGCCTGTCTGATGCGCGCATACGTCTCCTCCATGGACGGCGCCAGCAGCAGCGTCTGCCCTCGCCCGGGAGGGAAGGAAGGGGAAAGCACAGGATGGGTGAGGGAACATGAGATGTTGGGGGAATGGGCCGTAGGGAAGATGGAGCTTGGGAGTGCAGAGGCAGCGACAGCTTGGCCGGCAATGCAGCTGACAGATGAGAAGGTGGCAGAGTGCGGAGTGCGTGGGTGTGGTGTGGTGGTGGGGCGTGGGCAGTAGGGCGCACCTTGAACTCATCGTAGTCGATGACGCCATTGCCATCCGTGTCCACGCACTGCACCAGCTCCTCTATCTCTGCCCGCGTCAACCCCACCGTGCCCTCGCCCGTCAACCCCAGCTGCACCCACACGCACACCCAGGGAGTGGACCGGACACAACGGAGGGGGTACGAGGGGGAGTGACGGATGAGAGCAAGCACACGGGAGAACAAGGGGTATGGGGTGTGGTGCGGTGCATAGCGCGGCACGTGGTGAGGGGCAGTGCATGCAATGCAGGGCACCTGGTCCATGGCGTAGTTGAACTGCTCCACTGTCACGTACTCCGCCTGCTCGCCCTGCCCCTCTGCCCCCGCCTCGCTGTCGCTGCGGAAGAAGTCAAACGCCTGCCGCTCCTCCTCCATGCCCGCCTCGCCCAGCTTCGCCTGCTCATGCCACACACCACATTGCCAAGCACGCGGTCAACAGGCACACAACAGTGCTGAGGCAGGGCATGCGCGAGGCGTGCAGGCAAGCGAACTGCTGTGTATGCTGGGTGCGATGGGTGTGGTGAGAGGTGGTGTGCGAGTGGTTGCTCTGGGAATAAGTGCTGCACATGCGAGTCCACACGCTGCAGCAGCAACACCTGCGCTCTAACGCCACTGGTGCATGTGCAGTGATACGAAAAGCCGACACCCCATGGCCTTCCGTGGGCGCACCTTGATCATTTGGAAGATGGCGGCCTTCCAGTCGGCGGTGAGAGGCTTGTCCTGCGCCGTGGGGTTGAGCAGCCAGATGTAGTCCACCCCCACCAGCGCCCCGTGGTGGTTGCGGTGCGACACCCACTGCCCCATGCACTCACCCACCCGCCCACGCGCCACACGTGCAGTGCACACCACAACCGAGATGGGTAGCACAGGAGGGGAGGAAGGGATGTTGAGTGATGGACTGCGAGAGGGGCAGGAGCAGCTGCGGATGCAAAAGCAAAGAGTGTGGAGGGAGAGCCCATGAGGGGAAAGGGAGGCGGCGTGGTGAGAGGGGAGATGCAGGTGCAGAGGTGGGTGTGTACAGGCGTGCGAGGGTAGGCGTGGGTAGGCAGTGCACATACGCAGGTGTCGTGGTCGGGGTGCTGCATGGCGGTATCGTAGCACGACACAAAGCCCTGCGACCGCAGGAACCGGTACACCCGCCCCGCCTTGGTGCCGTTCAGGTCGCTGTGCGCCACGCGTGATCGCCAGAGGGGGGAGAATGGGTGGGGGAGTGAGTGTGGGTGTGGGTATGGTTTTGGTTTGAGTGTGGATGTGAGAGCAAGGGTGAGTGTGTGAGTGTGAATGTGAGCGAGATAGAGCGGCATACAAAGCCACAAGATTTAAGAAGATTAATATGCTGGCAGAACTGGGGAGGGGTGGGGTTGGGGTTGGGGTGGGGTTGGGGTTGGGGTTGGGGTGGGATTGGGGGTGGGGGTGGAGGAGTACAGAGCACAGGGCACAGGCGCAGTGCGCAGTGGACGCACTGACCCGCAGAGCACGATGGGCAGTGCGGGCAGGTGGTGGCGCTGGCGGTACTGCTCCAGGTACTCCAGCACCTTGTACACCTGGGGGGGAGAGGGGGGGGGGGCCGCACGTCGTGGCAACGGGGGCGTCGGGGAAGGCAGGGGGGAGGCACGGGCCGGGGTGATACAGAGCGGCCCAGGAGACACCTTGCTGTGAATTTGACGTGGTGACGCATGCGCTATGGAGTATTGCGGCAGTGGGAGTGCTGCCAGCCGAGCACCACAGCTGTCGGCGGGTGTGGGCGGAGAGCGCACCTCGCGGAGGCGGATGAGGCTGGAGTTGGCGTTGTGCGGGAAGAGCAGGTGCGTGTTCACCAGCAGCATCTCGCCGCCGCCGTGCACGCGCAGGCGCAGCAGCTGTGCGACGCGGTCGCCGCAGTCGTTGAAGAGGATGGGCTCGTAGTCCGCCACGCTCACGCCCTGCCCGCCGCGCACCGCCGTCAATAGCCCTGCGGGGTGAGCAACGCGGGTTACCAGTGAGTGGGGCTCGCGTCAATGCTGCCTGTTGTGCGGGGCCGAGTGAGATTGCACTGCCAGCTTTCAAAGGAACAGCGGCAGCGTGGGCGGCGGCGGCGGCTCACCGTCGCCCCTGGCGTTGGTGCGCGGCAGCTTGTAGAGCTGGTAGCCGTGCGCCTCGAGCGCGTGGTGGTACATGCGCTCCAGGTCCGCGTTGAACCAGAACTCCTGCCAGCCGCCCCCGCCCGCCGTCCAGCACAGGCGCAGGGAGAACGCGGGGGGAAGGGAAACGGGGGCAGGGGGAGGAAGAAGGGGTTGGGGGAAGGGGGGAAGACAGTGTAGCTGTTAGGTGGGGGAGCAGGTGCATTGGGGCATTGGGGTCTGGCGCCGCTTTTTCATGGTGTTCACTGGTGCCCCTCAGCCCCACCCCCCTCCCTTGTGCTGTTACATTCCCTCACCTGCCGCCTCCCTGCAGTCCTTCTACAGCGCCCCCCAAGCAACCCCTTTCCCTTTCCTTCCCCACGCCCCCCTCCCCCGGCGCGCGCGTACCTGCAGGCACACGACGGTGCTGTCGGTTGCTCGCAGCGCGGCGAGGATGCGCTCGTTGCGCGCCATCCACTCCTCGGGGAACGCGCTCTCGCGCACCGCCTGACGCCCGGCGGGATGCGCGGGATGGGGAAGGGAAGGGAGTGTTTGGGGGAAAGAGATCATGGACGCGTGAATGTTGGAATATGGCCAGCGGAACGCGACGCATGCGCATGGGCAACGGCCGTTGGGGACCGGCGTGGGGCGGGCGTGGGGGACGGGCGTGGGGGACGGGCGTGGGGGACGGGCGTGGGGGACGGGCGTGGGGAATGTGCGTGCGGTGCGAAACAATCGAGAATGAGGCACTCGGAGCGGCGAGGGTGGCATCCCCTCTCGACCGATCTTCTCTATGCATGCCATCCCCGGCGCACGGCGCACCTCGCCCGCCAGTCGTTTATAGATGGGCGCCAGGATGTTGAACGTCGAGATCGACAGCTCCACGCCCCCCGCGGGTTCCGCGCTCGCCGCAGCGGCACTCGCGGCGGTGTGCCGCGCAGCAGACCCTCGTGTGGCGCGCGTGGCACGGCGCAGGGCGCGGAGGCGGGTAGGCACGCCGCGCGGTGCAGCTAATTGCACGAGAGCGGAGCGGGATGGCGCTCCGCGGGCTGGTCTTGCAATGCGGAATCTCCGCGCGGTGCACGTGCACGAATCCACCCCCGGTGCGGCAATGTCCGCTTGCGTGGACGGCTGCAGCGGCTGCATCCATCGCGCTTGCCACGTGGTAAAGGTAAGTGAATTGGTGGCCATGGTTTGCGGGATGGAGGCGGGTGGCGAACTTGGGCCCACAAGCCGCACGAGCGATGTGGGTGTTGGGTTGAGGCGGAAGCCTCCACCTTTACTCCGACTGCCGCTGGCTCTATGTGCGGCTGGGGCGAAAGCACACTTGCCGTTTCCTGCTGCAGCTCCTCCTACCCTCTCTCCAGCCCAGAACACCAACAAACCAACACACGGACAGCATTGAGTGAATTTGGCTGGACAGAAATATGAGATTCGTTCTACGAGGACCTGTTTCCGGGTTGAAGATCCACGACTCTCTCAACAGAGCGCGCAGTTGATCACACTGACCAGTGGCCCTAAACCATAAAAACTTCGGATCAAACCGGTGCGGCCGATGACATCTTGGGAACGAGCCCTCGCGGGATCTGACATGCGTGTCGTTTGGAAATGGTCCCACCCCACCCAACCCAAGCAGCCATTCACACACAAAAACTCGAGGCGCTCACTCACAGCCGCGATCAGTGGGAGAGGCATGTATTGCTTGGCGCAGAGAGTAGCGTCGGTTCAACCGTTGACGGCCAGAATATATCTGTGGCTTGGGGGTGCACCGCGAATCAACCGTTGACCGCAATGGCCCCCTTGCCTACCACGTCAGCTGCACAAGATGCTCAGCAGTACACGTGTACCCAAGTTCGAGGGTGTCGTACCGCCTGATGTGCAGAAACTGTTAGGACGTGGTCCAGATCGCAACGATTTCACAAAGTAGGTTGTCGATTGGATCAGATCGGGGATGATTGGGTGTGATTGCCCCGATCTGACGCAATCATCTATCTCCTCCCCCGCAGCGCAATCTGACGAAACAATTTCCCCGAAACCTACAAGAATCGTAGTCGCGTCTTCTAGGCGAGTCACACGTCTCTTTTAGCTCAGTGTTGACGAAATGTAGCGAAATTTAATATCGCACAATTACAACGTAACCATTTTTTTGTGGCCAGGTGTATTGTAGCAACGAGCAGAACCGAACATTAGGGATGGTGGTTATGAATCGTGCATAATCGCCAACATACATAATTTATCGATCGCAATCGGTTGCAATCGATTGCATCAGATCGAGACAATCGATCTTAATCGATCGGGATCTCTATTGGGATTGACAGAGTGTCTCCGATTGCCCCAAAGTATCCCCCTAGACCTTCTCATAAATTGTGGATTGCGTAGATCGGGCCATCAGCCTCAGATCGTCCCGATCTGCACCATGTCCTTACGAGTAGTGACAGGGATGATGCAAAAGACATTAGTGACCACTTACATAGTATCCTCGGCAACATGCGGGATTGGTGAATGTTTCCTGGTTTCTATACATCCAAATTCCTTCTTAATGGCAACAAAAGAAGCATGCACTAATGAGTATGAATGTGAACGACCAGAGTTACACGAAACATCTCATACAGCTGGAAGCATTTGAACCGTCGGCGAAAGAAGCATCGCGCAACTGTATCGCCTAGGAGTTGACGAAAACAGGTTTGTAACCAGTTCTCGTGCCGCACGATTAATTATTGCTGCAACAATGAAATGTACCCCTTAGAGTATGTTGGAGTAAGACAAAAAGTGTCTTTAAACATTCCAAAAATGTGCAGTAGTATCGCACATGCTACTATCGAGTAGCACTTGTACCGCTGCCACATTAAGCCCATATAGGGCACGTAAGTCAACTTTCACGGGTCAACCGTGGAAACTGTTGACCTATTTGGACCAAGATGTTGCGACATGCCTCAACTTCTGACAACCCACCTTTCAGTGGGATGCCCTAGGATATGGCGGCTGCAACAGTGGCAATCATTTCCTTTTTGTTATAAAATTAGCATTCTTGAACGTCGTAATTGTAGCATGATTAGGCTTTCCCAAGTAAGAGAAATTAAGGCTTGGGACGAGTCGGAAGTTAATGACGGTTACCATCGAGATGGTAATGGCACATGGGAAATGGTGGGAACAGGTTCGTACGGTTACTAAATCGCACGGTTGACAAATAGTGTTACAAGTGCAATGTAGCGAGATAGCGAGGATCGCACTATGTTGTAAAACGAGTACAAAGTATGAGTGAATGCATGAGCAAATACTTATAAGTGAAACTTGCAAACGGTAACGTGGTGGTGCGAACTAGCTAATGCGATTCTGGCATCGAGGTTCGAGCTAGTCCCGAAGCGTAGGTCGACTCGGCCGAGCCAGCAATGCATGGTTTGGTAGATGCAACGTGCGAAGGCTGGGAAAGCTTCGGTAGCTGCAACGTGAGCCGTGCAGTAAGGAATGCCGAAAAAAATCCTTGCACTACCCCCCTCCACAACTACGCGAGTGCTTGTATATCGCGGAATCCCAGGCTTTGCAGGTACACCTGCAAAGCAGGGTGCTTTTCAATGTTAGCAAGGGGCACCCATCTGTCCTCTGTAAGCATGCGAACCTTCAAGCGGTCGAGGAACTCAAATCTTCGGATTCCCATAAGGTGGGAAATCCAATGGCTCATGATTTTTTCCGGGGTCGACGATCGGCTCCGATGTAGGACGCGTCATTGATGGCGGGTGATGGTGTGGCAGTTGGCTCGTGGTGGCGATGTATGGGCCGTGTAAATTGACGTGGAATGAAGGGCCGATGTACCAAGCGGTCGGCAGCAGGAGATGGGCGCTGGTGGGTGTTATCATGTGGTCGATCTGCAATGGGCCAAAGTAGCGTGGACGAAGTTCGGTACGACATGCAATTGTAAGTTCTGCGTATCAAGAAGTAAATGGTCTCCGGTCTCGTATGTTACAGCGCAGCGGTGGCAACGGAAATTCCTCTTTACGATGATGTTGGCCATTTTAATTGTGTCTGCTATGCGTCTGCGGGCAGCCTGCAGAATATCGGTGAATTGTTGTGCGAGTGGCTTCAAACTGTCAAGACTCGACGTCATGGGCACTGTGGGATTCTGCCCGTAGTTCGGGTAAAATGGTGACTGTTGTGTCGTCGTTGACATGGCGTTGTTGTATGCGTGTTAGAATCCCAGCCACTAACCACTGGGATAAAAGGGCTTGTTTGTGTAGCGGGTGAGTGCGCCCATAACCCCCCAGGCCAACGTGCCTGTAACCCTTCCCTAGGATCATCAGGGATCACCAGTGGACCTCTGACACCCCCCCGCACTGGGATGCCCGAGGTGCACACACCGGGATTCGAACCCGAGACCTTCGCTCTGATACCATGTTAGAATCCCAGCCACTAACCACTGGGATAAAAGGGCTTGTTTATATAGCGGGTGAGTGCGCCCATTCCTGATGATCCCTGATGATCCTAGGGAAGGGTTACAGGCACGTTGGCCTGGGGGGTTATGGGCGCACTCACCCGCTACATAAACAAGCCCTTTTATCCCAGTGGTTAGTGGCTGGGATTCTAACATGGTATCAGAGCGAAGGTCTCGGGTTCGAATCCCGGTGTGTGCACCTCGGGCATCCCAGTGCGGGGGGGTGTCAGAGGTCCACTGGTGATCCCTGATGATCCTAGGGAAGGGTTACAGGCACGTTGGCCTGGGGGGTTATGGGCGCACTCACCCGCTACACAAACAAGCCCTTTTATCCCAGTGGTTAGTGGCTGGGATTCTAACAATGCGAACTCGATCAGAGGCAGCTGTTGCTCCCGGGGTGTCGGGTCATCACACGTGGCATGAATCAGTTGCTCCATGGACTAGTTCATACGCTTCATTTGATAGACGGGCTCGGGGTGGTACGTTGAACTGAACTACAGTCGGGTACCGAACTGTTTCTTGAGGTTCTTTTTTAGGTTGCTTGTAAACTTTGTGCCGCGGCGAAGTGGCCCGTTTTCGTCAGTCATTCGTGTCGTTAACCATGAGCGCGTCATTAACACTAGGGCTCAAAGTAACCCTGTGATAAAATCCATGGTAAGTTTGCTGCCGTGTGCTCTCGGGCGGTGGAATCGGCTGCAGTTGACCGACATTTCTTGTGTGGAGCACGGTCCCACATGGTGTTGTACGTCGGTCAACAGTTTCGGCCAGGATAGTACCACTGCAGATGCTGTCACGTTTTCTCTACCCCGAAGTGACTCGCGGTAACCCCGTCGTGTGCCTCCTATGCGGAGAGTCACTACACAACGGGAGTAGACTACGGAGGAAGGCACGGGGTTGTGTGGGTGATTGTAGCATTGCACCAGCGTCCTCATAACTTGGCATAAGGAAATTTGGCAAGTGTTTGAAAACAAAAGTTGAGAGAACATTAGATTACAATGAGGCATGCAAGTCGATATAGCTAGAATGACACTGCAATACCTAGCGAGCCCTCTACAGGGTGAACTCTACCACCGCAGCAGAAGAGCGGCTTGCCAACGCTGCAGCAGAGTAGATTGCTAGCATCGCAGAGGCATGTAAACTTCTGCGCATGTGTACACCTACCAAGTAGGTGCAGGCAGACTGTCGCACCGCCAGGCACATTGCCCAGTTGCCAGGTAGAACACGTGGCGACCATTTCTCCAGCCATGCACCGTCGAGCATGTGATGTTGCTGTGCAGGTCGGCATCGCAAAAACCTCCTGGGTAACATTCGCATACGCGTCGGATTTCGCAGTCGAGCGACTTGCGTCGACCAGCTCGACGATGCTTTGTCGAACAGCATTCGCCTAGACGAGCATGTCGAGCAGAGTCTATATACCAGCACCTCTATTCGGGCTCGTCGATCAGCATCCTCTGCGAGCTCATCGACTGCGTCCTCTGCAAATAGGTAGACGTCGAACAGTGTAGATAAGTCGATGTCGAATTCAGCGCGCGGTCGAGGTCAACTTCTGCACAGGGTCAACATCGTCTTCTGTGTGCGGTCGACGTCGTCTTCTGCGGGCAGGTCAACGTCGACTTCTGTGCTCACCCAGCTGTGAAGTCTGCTTCGCCCAAGCGAGGGCGAGGCCAATCTCTGGCAACATCCTACAGTAGCGATTTCCTCAGTAATGAATATGCTGGTATCCATATTCGGTTGGTGTCTGTTTTTACGTTATAAATTGCCTCAG